TCTGCAGCCCCTTTCAGAAGCTAGAGTTGAAGGCAACCAACGAGGGAAGGTTAGGTTTCAGCTTTTCTTCCTATGAGTTGCGATAAAGAGATCATATACAATTTTTACTAGTATAATTGCATGGTCAACTTCCTAAACTGATGTGAGTTCCTCAATTTACACCTCGGCATAGGACTGCACCACAAGAACTTGACTCTCATGGAGAAAATTGATTAGATGCTCATGTATTCTTGCCGGTCCAAACATGGCTCACATTTGCATTTGCTGCCCTGGTTTTCAGAATTCTTTTTTGCTGGGGAATTATTATGTACTTGTCCTTGCAACTTTGACCATTGAGAGTTTGCTGCATACCCATAAATTTGAGAGTATAGTAGGGCTAAGTCAACGACTTTGGGATGCAAAGACAAGGAACCCTGTTAATCTGTTTTTATCGTATATGTACAGAGAATGAACTTTTTGGCAATAACTCCTCCCTCATTATGGATGACAAAAAATCTGGATTCCGATATGTTTGGATTTGAAAACAAAAACTCGACCTATAATATACTTTTGGAATTTTAATTAAATATTATAACTTAACTTAGGGTACGTGTAATATATATACGTAATATTTCGATTTCTTTAGTTTTACCAAAAACTCAATCCGGATAAAAAAATGATTTGGTTAACCTCTTCGGAATTGCTGGTTTGGATTTTATATACTTGAAATCAGGTTGAGCTCTGTCTTATGAAACCTGTTCTGAAGCTGGTGTGAGACTGTCTGCCATACCTCATGGCTTCATCCTTTACTGCTTCACAAGGGGCAGTAAGGCTTCTCTGACTCTATCCCTCCATAGGCTGTGGAGGCATAAAATTCCTCAGGGTTTGGCAGGGCACATACAGATTTCGTAACAAACGATTAGGCTTTTTTCAGATGATGCAGAAGCTTTGTCAATCGAAAGGTATGGAGGCTCGGGTTTGATCTATGAACACGACAAGGATGTTCATCGTGTGCGATGAGGTGAACCCTGTGGCATTTTGAATGTTCAATTTTCTGTCTCGCTGTGGGGTTCGAGTAATGAGTACCCGCGATAAGCTCTGTGACATCACAACGATCGAATTGTTGGGGCGTATCGGCGAATTGCCACCAAATCTTATGGCAGAGGAAATGGGAAGGAGTTGTGCTACAATGGCTGAGATAATTTATATATATATATATATATATAAAATATGACATAATGTTATTTTATGTTAACAAGATTATAGGGAACTAAAAAAAATTATTATATAAATATAAAAAAATTGTTATACCTTAATTTTTAGTGAAAATTTTTGGGATTATATGAGATATAACGAAAAAATATGTGATCAAAAGTTTATATAGTATATAACGTTAGAGTTTGCGATAAATTATATAATCATACTCGTATTTTATTTTTATATTTAAAATATTTAAATAAATAAATATTACATACATTTATTTTTACATATATAGTTCGAGTTAATTATTTTGTATATTGATATTTACTTTATTTTAAAATAAAGTAATTATATTTACATATTAATTTACTATATTTAAATAAATTTTAACATATCTGAATTAAAATTTTCGAAAGAATTTATAAATAAAATATTATATTTGCTTATTTTGAGAATTAATTGTATTATTTATATAATCATTAAGAAAACAAATTTTTTTTTAAAAAAAAAAAATCAAATAAAAAAATCATTAATTAATAATTAAATGAAAATTCTAATACAAGACTTCAAATTTATTATTATATTGATTAATTACCCATCTCTATATATCTCCTAATTTCAACCTTATATGCATGATATAATTAAACTATACATTCATTAATGTTCATGCATGTACACATGGATATATATATATATATATATAGTTGTAGCTATACAGAAGTTATAATTGGATGTTATATGGAGGGGAATCTTATTACATAATTGAATAGTTCTATATATATATATATATGTATGTATGTATGTATGTATGTATGTATGTATGTATATTCCCAACAATGAAGGGTACCATCCTCGTGCATTCACGCAATTAATTACTGCGGTTAAAAAAAAAAACAAACACAAGAGGAAGAAAATATCAAAGGCCATGCAGCAGCAGCAGCGGCATTTACCTCTCTTCATGAGAGATGTGTCTTACTTTTTATATCTCCTCTAATCTCACCAACCAACCCACCACCTCCTATTACTCCTTGCCCTAATATCATTTCTCCTTTAACTATATATATATATATATATATATACAGACACACACACACACACACACAGAGGCATATATAAATATATACATAGCTACCCTATATGCCTGTTGCTTTGTTGAATATCATAGAGGGTCAAACTTACTCTGTGTGTGTGTGTGTGTGTGTGTATGGAGAGCTTGCTTTGTGATGAGGTATGGGTTTCTAGTCCCAATTGCTGCAGCCATGAATACAAAAATGGAGTTAGAGAGAGTTCATTTTACGCGAGGATGGAGGATTGTGAAGAAGGTTTTCTCTTAACGTTACAGAAGGAGCATACTTACATGCCTCGACCTGGATATCTACACTATCTCTACTCACAAGATTTGGTCAAAGCTAGATTCAGAGCCATCAGATGGCTCGTAAAGGTTCTTTTCTTTCGATTCATTTTAAAATATCAAGTTAAAACTTTTTAAAAAATAACAAATAATTTGTATGAACGGGTGAACTTCCAAAATAATTTGATATCTTTTCTCTTTTTCTAATGAAAAAAATGAGATATTTTCACATATACATGCATATATATTTATATGTGCGTACAAGTTTACTACTGAAACTGGGGAGACCTGATTTTGTGATCATATCAGTCTGGCAGACGATTGAATCTTTCTTTTGGAACTATTTTCTGCGCTGCAAATTATCTTGACAGATTCATATCCACGAATCACTGCCGTGTAAGCGAAAAATATTTACTGTTCTTTATAATTCTAATTAATCTCTTTGGTTCTTTCACTTCACATTTCAAATATAATTCTCACAATTTGCAGGAATGGAAATACTGGATGGTTG